AATATATATATATATATATATATATATATATATTACATCCTACTTTTTAATCTTTGTTTCTTGAGTTTATGCAGAAAACTGGATTAAATTCCTCAAACAAACATGTTTAAAGAAAATGTTAAGTCCTAAAAAAAAACCTTATTACCTAGCCTGCTTATAATCTGTTCCTACTAAATGATCATACACAAAACCTTATTACCTAACCTGCTTATAATCTGTTCCTACTAAATGATCATTACACAAGACCTTATTACCTAACCTGCTTATAATCTGTTCCTACTAAATGATCATTACACAAGACCTTATTACCTAGCCTGCTTATAATCTGTTCCTACTAAATTATCATTACACAAGACCTTATTACCTAGCCTGCTTATAATCTGTTCCTACTAAATGATCATACCCAAAACCTAATTACCTAGCCTGCTTATAATCTGTTCCTACTAAATGATCATATACGTGTCCATGTATTGTGTAGTTTTCTGGTAAAATATTAAAATCACTTAATAAAATATTTCACAAAATTAACAGAAACAAACTTACATCAGGATCCACTTCATTGCTCAGTTGTTCTAATTCTTCAGGGGTTAGTTTGGATAAAAGGTCATCTATGTCTATCTCATCATATTCCTTTATATCTTTTCCATACAGTTTGGTGGTCATCTTGCTTCTGTAAAAATATCATAGCAATACAGGTACTTTTCATAACTTGTAGCCCATAAAGAACACAATCTGCTCTCATTTGACTTCATTTCAATAATAACAGTTTAGCCTACCTAAAGCTATTTCTTTACTTTGTTCCTGGAGTAAGTTTTCTCTATAACTTATTTTTCTGCATTAAGTTTATCCTTCACCACTGTCTAGCCTTACAAGCATGCTAGCCCCTGCCCTATTTAATTGTAAACCATCCATTCAGAAAGCATCGTTTTCCCAACAATCTGATCCCACAAGTCCAAACAGCCAATCTGTTCATCCTTGCATATTAACTAAGCATAGCAATCAGGAGTATTACCTGTGGTCTGACCAAATGAGGATTTTAGAAAACATATTTCAGATTATTTGTAATAGCTGAATAAATGTGATGAACTGAGCTCACAAGCATATGGCATTTACATTGGCAAAATAACCACAAAAGTACAACTTGGTCAAAAGTGGTAATAAACTGGAGCAATTATATGTTATCACATATGTAGAACTTAGATAATAGAAACCACATGAGGTATACAGTAAATACTGGTAATATTAGAAAGCTGAGAAACAGGACATTCAGAGTAGCATTGTTTTTTTTTTAACAGTGCATGGACTAATATGAGCAGGAAAGAAAAAAAATGGTGAAAGTGAGAGAGATGCACAACATAAACTAAATCTATACAGTTATGAATTTTTACAAAATGTGTAATTCAGGAAATGTATTTTATAGGCCTTATTTACATACATTCTTCCCCCTGAAAGGAAAGGTAATTAATTTGAAATTGTACTTCATATGGTTTGGTTTGAATTTTGCAAAAAATTACATTGAGAGCTATCTGTGCTAGCCATCTCTAATTTAGTGGTCAAAGACTAGAAGGAAGGTAGCTAGTCATCACCACCCACTACCAATTCTTGGGCTTCTCTTTTTCCCATAAATAGTGGGATTGACCACCACATTATAACACCCCACAGCTGAAAGGGCAAGCATGTTTTGTTGGATGACGATTCAAATCTGTAACCCATAGATTGCAAGTCTGGCACCCTAACCACCTGGCCATACCAGGCCTAATTTCATATATGAACTTTTATGTCTAAAATTAACAAACCTGCAAGTATTTGTTGTTGGAAAAGTTGATCAACTTTGAAAAATAGACCAACTTATGAAATATAAGTATCCTGTAGCTGGATCATGAAAAGAAGATCCAAACAATTAAAAGATATCACAATATAGTACATTAAAATACTCAGTTAAGTAGTAGTAAAACATAAGGCCAACTGCAAAATTCCTAGGAATTTGTCTTTAAATGACCTGAAGATAAAAACCTATAACCAAATTGGCAAAAGTACACAACAGGAAAATATATTCAACATTTCAGAAGTAATTGTACACTGAAGAAATAAGAACTCTAACATAAAAAATAAAGAGTTTATCTTTGAAGGACCAACTAAATCCCAATTATTATATGGTCCAGTGAAAACAATAATTCCATAGCCTGCTCTTGCACTCCTTTCAACAAGCTGTAAGGGGACTAAATGAGACGCCATCAAAGCTTTTTTGTTCTTACATTTAACATTCATGTACATAGAACAAGAACTCTTTATTTACTCTTTTCAATAAAGTAAAACGTTTTATAATGGTATAAAATCTCCACTATACAACAGTGTTTGAAAGAATAATTTGTTTTTTCCTGCAAAAAAGAAAATAAATTGTTAACTACTAAAACCTGACAGAAAAGTAGAAATTGTCAACTTTTTCTAACAAAATTGCTTAAGCACAGTATAATTTGAATATTAATTTGGTTATCATTCAGTTTTTAATTACACAACAGAAATAAGTTAGCTTCTTCGGTTCTAATTTATTTCTTTTGTAATATTCTAAAAATCAGCAAATGCAACATGAGAGGACACAAACTTATGACAGGCTAAGCTTCACCTAAGGCAGTGTTATTTTATAACAGTGACTTGGTTTATGGAATGAGTTGCTCTTGGTGATAATGAAGATTAGCACTTCACAAGAGTTTAAAAGAATCCATTATTTCCTAAAAAAACGATTTTCATGTTTAAATGTATATTATTTCTCAAGAGTAGGTGTGCAACTGCAAGATCAGCCTACGAATGACCAAATTATTTCTGATTTTAAATCTTGTCTCAAGGTCTCAAAATTGACTTACTGAAAAATCAAGTATTTTTTTTTAACTCAACATGGGGCAAAACATCTACTCTGACCACTCTTTAAATATTCCCCCACTAAACTCTTTTATTAGTGAACCACATCTTTGTTTGTAATTGTAGCTAATAATTAAAAGTTCTTACATTTAATATATTACAAATATAGTTTATAATTATAGAGTCTATACATCTTGCTCACTTGGACAGTTATGTTACTGCATTATTTGTACTGATAGTGGCACACCTTACAGACGTTATCAATATTAAGCAAAACATCCTACAATTAAGTACATCACGTCATTAGCCTATTACTAATTAGGTCCTACAGTTCTATATTAACGTCATTATAAAGTTATACAAATTTATTGCATATACTGACATAGCCTCAAGGATAGGATCAATATAGCACTTCCACGTACTACACTTACAGCAGACTTCATGAGTATTTATAAGATTTAAATACAACTAAAACACCAAAAACATTACAATCTTTGACACTGGTGCAGTTATATAGACCATATAAATGATATATGATATAATATTTCGCCTTTTCCAAATAAAAAAAGGTAAAGCACTAAAGGAAACAAAAAGTATAGTGTAGGTTCATTAAATAATACTCACTCAGAGAGATAAAACAAATGTTCTTCAATCTGGCCAAAATCTCATCAAATCTTTAGTTTTAATTTCACCTACCACTCACCAGATATTTTAAAATAAGCGAACCACACCTCAATCACTCGAGCGGTTTACACCAACTCTCAGTCCCAGCTGAAACTTAAGTCCGTAGCCACATAGTTTAGCTTGTTCTCACTCGACATTAAAAAGAGGTCACTAATTTTGTCATGCGTTTGTAGAATTGCCAACCGCAGTGGAATGAACGTTGCACAGATTAATAATATTTTATTTTATGAACCTTGTGGTTGTTCGGGTAATTCCAAGAAGATGCTATTTGTTTGTTTGTTTACTTTCTAATTTTAATATTTTGTTTTCACACTTACAAAAAAAGAAAGAAAAAATTATCAATACCTTATCATTAACATTAAGTTATATCCGCGGTTTTTGAAAAAAGATTTATCAGTGTTATTTATGGTATAAAAAAAGAAGAGTTGTTACAAATTGTGGAAATTTTGAAAATCTAACTTATATAAAATAAATAGCATTCTTGTAAGACCATGTGTACTAATGCATGCGATTCACACCCTATAGTCCCCAGGTGAGAGAGCGGTAAGTCTACGGATTTACAACGCTAAAATCAGGGGTTCTCTTCCCCTCGGTAGACACAACGGATAGCCCTGTGTGGCTTAGCTACAAAACACACTCACACATATCCTATAATATCACAATTACATATTTCTTTACGAGAATATATGGAATGCCACTTTGTTGTATCTACTGCTGATGTGTTAAAATGTACAAAACAATAACAGCATCTGAGGAGGAATAAACAAGAAACTAAAGAAGCGATTAACGTAACTGAACACCTTAGTAGACCTTTGCGATGCTATACTTGTAATCAAATAAGACATTTATCTGTGCATTGTCCTAAGAAAGTAAAATATGGATGAAAAAAAAATATGGCAACAAATCGATCTGGACTCAACACTTCAGTTAAAAACTTGAAGTAAAAGTAACATGTGTATTGCAGATGGAATGACTAAATGTTGATCACTGGGATACTTTAAAGCCAAACATTTGGTAACAAATAAGATTGTGGACCAATGTTTTGTTGTAGTTAAAGATTTGTCCGTATCTTGTCTCATTGTCTTAGACTTTATTGAGCAAAATGAAGCCACCCTAAACTTTTTCACAAATGTTCCAAAACTAAAGAAGCAATAATTAATGAAGTATATTTTTAGGGTTTTTAGTATAAATGAGCTGGGATTCTTCTACAGTAGGTGTCTGTAACTTGTTGACGATAAATTCGAACAATAAACATACAGCACACAATCGACTTGTTTTAAAATAATATATATATTCAAAACAAGTCAAACATATTGTTACGACAGCGGAAGTCACGTGAC